AAAATTTCGAAAAAATTTTGAAAACTAAATTTCTGTAGAAGCATATAAAAATAATACAGAATTTATCATTTTTAATTTTACGAATTTTTATTTCCCTTTCTATTTTCAAATATTTTTCACAAAATTAATATTTAAAGTTTTTGCTTGTAACATTATATAATAAATACAAAAACTACAGAAATTCGCGTGAAAAGAAAACAACTTGAGGATATCGTTTCAATGTTTGTTTAAATTAAATTGTACTTTACGTGAAATGAAACTAGATTCAAATCACTAGTTTATCTAGTTACTCATTGAGTTAGTAATGACTGAAACAGAAGAAACCGGAACTGCTTGTTCATCGAACAGAATTCATCAAACCAACCATCGTCTAGTATATAATCGTGATAACCTTTTTCTTTCAGGGACATCCTGTGAAATTTTACCATCTGCTTACTGGAACATTTTTCTAGACGGTATTGTTCATTTTCTTTTATTTGCCTTTTAAAATATACTCAATAATATTTTCATATTGTTGAAATATTTTAAAAAAATATTTTCATACTGTTAGTATCCGGAATATAAACAGTTCCTTTTTCGCAAAATATCTGTCCTATCAACGAATCTAGTGACTGAAGCATCTGAACACATACATCTTTACTCTACTAGTTAAATATAAAAATTATATTAAGTAGATTGTATACGTTCATATCATACTTCATTAATTTCTAAGTAAAGAATTCTTTTGATGCCTCGACAAAGTTTTCAAGAAAGTTACATTCGATCATAGTAGTTAAGATTATATTTATAGAGAATAAATATATCGAAATTGAAACGTCAATTGTGTTGCAGATTGTACAGGACGTTATAAAAGATAGTATAATTTATCCCATCGAAATTGCAAATTCAATAAAAATTAAGTAAGATCAACAGAAAATAAAAATTTATTACATTCTGTGAACAGAGTGTACACTAAAAGAAATTGATATTTCCAAGGGAAATTTCATTAAAAAGAATGTCTGGTAGTAATGAAAATACGAACAACAACACCTGTGTTGTGTGTTATAAAAATGTTGATATTTATAGCATTGGTATGTGTGAACATCCTGTGTGTTATGAATGTAGCACTCGAATGAGGGTACTCTGCTTTCAAAATGAGTGTCCTATTTGTCGTCAAGATTTACCAAAGGTTGTATTTACAAAGAACATAAAACCTTTTTGTCAGTTACATAAAGGTAGTTTGTTAGACACACAATACAATATTTATTTCGATACACCTGACATTCGAAGCAAATTCTATGATTTATTGGCTAATACTTGCAATATTTGTAAAGATAAGCCTATACTTAATAATTTTAACAGTTTGAAAAATCATATGAGACATTGGCATGAATTACATTACTGTGACCTCTGTGTGGAAAATTTAAAGGTAAATTTATATTATTTGACATGTTTTTATTCTAAACTATATTAAGGAGATTGTTTTATCTTTAATTTTTAATAGTTTATAATAACAGATTAATTAATTTGATTTTATTAAGAAATGCCTGTTTTATTACAGATATTTTCTCATGAAAGACGCTGTTACACAAGGGCTGACCTTGCGCAACATAGAAGGAAAGGAGATATTGATGATAAAAGTCATAAAGGCCATCCATTATGTGAATTTTGTGATCAACGGTATATGGATAATGATGAATTATTTCGACATTTAAGAAGATATCATTTATATTGTCATTTCTGTGATGCAGATGGTTTACATCAATATTACAACTCTTATGATTATCTTAGAGATCATTTCAGACAAGAGCATTTCTTATGTGAAGAAGAAATGTGTGTTGAAGAAAAATTTACAAGTGTCTTTAGGACTGATATAGATCTTAAAGCACATAAAGCAAGTGTTCATAGTAAACAATTGAGCAAAGCTGCTGCAAAGCAAGCAAGAACATTGGAGCTAGAATTTACACTAGCTCCACGTGGTGAAAATCGAATGAACAGAAGAGGAATATTAGGTACATCAGCTTCCAGAAGTTCTAGAGATTACAGTGGGAGAGATTACAGTGGGAGAGATTACAGTGGGAGAGATTGTAGTGGGAGGGATTACAGTGGGAGAGATTATAGTGGGAGGGATTACAGTGGGAGAGATTATAGTGGGAGGGATTACAGTGGGAGAGATTACAATCTCAGGGAATATCAGCAAACAATTACACCAAATGCTTCTAATGTATTTGTGTCAAACAACGAACCTACTTTTGTACGTCAGCCATCTGTGGATGTACAGAGTACTGAAGAATTTCCAACACTGGGTAACATAGCACCTATCGTACCCACTTTAAATCAAAGTAAAGGTAGAGGAAATGTAACAATCCGTAGTACTATAAGGCCCCAGCCTCTTGCTGTGACAGATGAAAATTTTCCTGCATTGGGGCCAGAATCAGGAGGTACAAGTATTTCTAAAACTGTTAACTTCAGTGTATCCAGTAGTAATGCTCCAGGGTCAAGTACACAATCCCAAAAAAGTACAACTTCTAATGTATCTATACAAGTAAATCATGAACCAAATGGGACTGTCACAACAAAAGTTTCAGGTCCTAATATCAGAATTCGTCCTGCACAACTTTCAATGGAATCCTTTCCTGCATTGGGTTCTACAGAACCATCAACTAGTAGTAATACAAATTCGGCTCACTGGAAGGAAGTTTTACAATGGACTTGTTCTAAATCGGCATCTACATCGGTACCGAAAGTAAAAAAAGTGGCTTCACCGCCGTTAGTACCTTCTCCACCACCTATTCAATCTGGAGAAGATTTTCCTACATTATCAAAATCATCTAAGTCGAAGAAGCAATCAACAATTACAGTAGTTCCTTCTTGGGTTCACCCACAGAGTACTAACAACAGTAATAATATAAAAACGACTACTGATATGACAAAGGGAAAAACGAAAAAGAAAAAAGTCAAACAAAATTGCAACAATAATAGTGTTAATGAGTATGAAAGTAGTAGTTCAAAAACAAATGTAAGTACTGTTGTAGTAAAAAAAGAGTGTGAGACATCCAAAAATCCATCTAGTATGAATAATATGGATACTGTACAGTCAAGTTCTCCCTCTATGCAAAATATGGATAATATGAATAACAGTGAAAATACATCAAAAAACATAAATGTTCAACCTCCAAAGGAAATGGAACAAATTAATAAAAAGGAGAAGAAGAAGCATAAAAACATAGACAATGAAACGGCTGTAAATACAAATATTGATAATAATACTTCTAATGGGGTACAGAGAAAGCGTACTGAATTAAAGATAGATAGCTTAAATTCTACTAATAGAAGTGTACGTCATCTAGAAGAATTTCCAGCTTTAAGTGGCAGCAGTTCCAAACCACCTGGATTTGCAAATCCACCACCAGGATTTGGAACAACAACCCCTCCACCTCCTGGTTTTTGTATAAAGTATAATAGCATGGATAAACTGAACAGCAGTAATGGATTGACTTTCACAAACAGTTCTGGAGAGAGTTATTCTATCGTGCCGGACAATAGTAAACACAACAGTGCATATAATTATGTACCTCCTCCAGAATTTCCAAAGCGAAACAAATGTCTTGTAGCTAAGGTTAATGAAGTTTTAATGCAACAAGACCAGATTGAGGAATTTCGATATATAAGTGGACTCTTTCGTCAAGGAACGTGTAATGCTCAAAAATATTACACACATTGTTGTAAAGTTATGGGTCTTAGTGCTTTTGAGAATGTATTTCCTGAACTTTTAGTTCTTCTGCCTGATATTGAAAAACAGCAAGAATTATTTAAAGTTCATAAAAAAGAAAGTGGCAATAAGATTAAAGGGTTAGAAATATGTGCAATCTGTGGCCAAGTTTTAAAGAATGGTTCTGATTTTCGAACACACATGACTAGTCACACATTAGAAAATCATTTTCCTGCATTGGGTAAAAGCAGTGCTCCCTCTCAAAAAAATTCTTGGGTACGTAAATGAGTATAGTTGTGTCCTTTTAATTAACTTACAAATTCTGCTAAGGTTCTGTAAGCTATAAATAAAAGAACTGCTGAACAAATTATTTTTGTGAATGGCACCAATGTAGAATAATCATAATTAATTTGAAACTATTAATAAAACATGAAGTACATATTCCAATTGTCAACTCCTAGTATTAAAAAGTTAGTTTGAACAAATTAATTACCATGTTGTACTTGGTATTTGTTCAAGGACCTGTGTGATTGCTGACTAAAATAAAGAAACTTTGTTACTGAATGGTTGTACTAATAATTTTATGAGATACATATAGCAAACAAAGTCAATAATTCTCTGTATAATAACAAATTTTGTGTAAATTAATTTAAATGATTTAACACTTGTGACACATTATAAATAAGATATTCATACAGAAATCTTATACTAAAATGTTTCAATTGATGCTCTTATTCTGTCATATGTTAAAAGTACCATGTATATATTACTCATAAGTAGGAAACATATTTCTGTAATTTAATTATTGTCTTTTATGGAGTAGAAACGGAATAAAAATTTTATGATGCATAAAAATAACACTGCATATTAACAAATTATTTGATACGTTATACATTATGCAGTGCATGTATTGATAATGTACTGTTTTGTACTATAATAAAGTTATTACATTGAGTTACACAAGAAGACTATAACACATGCTTGTCTTTCATGTCTCCCTATTTTGTAAGTATGTAATTGGAACTTCCAAATCCTGTTAAAAAAGAAGATAGCAATAGTATAACACAACTGTAAATTTATAATTTATAAAAAATATACTGTTAGTATTACTCGTTCTATAATTTATTATTTATTAAAAAAACAGGATAGTAAAAACGGTATATTATGTAATATATGTATCTCATTTTTAATTTGCTGCATAGACGCAGAGTAAAGTGCATAAAAGTATAAAAATTCACTTATACTTTCCCCTTTTTTGTAGCAGAGATTGTTAGTAATATTTTAAGTAAATGATTCTTGTAGTATTTTCCTCTCAAAATGAAAACAGTATATGTATTAAAGTTAACGTAGAAATATTTCATATTTATTTCAAACCCAGGATACATTTTTAAGTAAACTCATAACTCTATTGATTAGGATAATATGTAGCATACAAATAGTATGTAATTTGTAAATTTATACACTCATCTAATTTATAGTCTCTTTTTCTTTTAAAGGAAAATTTTACTTTGGAAATAAAACCTGTATAAACATTATGACCATTGAGTGAGTCAAGTTATATTCTATTACTTCAAGTAGTTTTCCTCTTAAAAATTACAATCACAGTGGTATTAAATCGTACACATAGTGCATAATCTGACAAAACGGAAATTGCAACCTGTCTTCTACGTCCATGCTCAATGAATAAATTGTTCATGAAGATTATGAATAACGACAGTGCTTTATCACTTTTTAGCTAATTCATTACTCAACCAATCAAGTCCTTCATAAAGTCCATGTCCTTGAGTAGCACAAGTGCTTTGAATATACCAATGACGTCCACGTAATGAATTTAGCCCCAATTTATCTGTGAGTTCTGCTGCACACATGGCATTTGGCAAATCCTGCTTATTAGCAAAAACTAAGAGAACTGCATCCCGTAGTTCATCTTCTTTTAACATGTTTGCCAATTCACGTTCTGCCTCTCCAATACGTTCACGATCATTACTGTCAACAACATAAATGAGGCCTTGTGTATTTTGGAAGTAATGTCTCCAGAGAGGTCTGATTTTATCTTGACCACCAACATCCCACACCGTGAAACATATATTCCTATATTCAACTGTCTCAACATTGAAGCCAATGGTAGGTATTGTTGTGACAATTTCACCAAGTTTCAATTTGTATAATATGGTAGTTTTTCCAGCAGCATCCAAACCCACCATTAATATTCTCATTTGCTTTTTACCAAAGAGCCGGGTAAGTAAGCTGCTGATTGTTAGGCCCATTTTATTTGGGAAGACACTGAACTGGTCTGAAGTGCTTAAACTAATACTCTTTTAGTTGGAAAAATTTTATTACGGTTACGTATTATTTCGCTTTTCTCAATAATATGGTCTTTCGCATGAAAAACCAACACTTCAAGGACTTGAAAATATGACGACGTTTATGATGATACTGTTAACACACCTTACAGACAATAATAGCAAACGTCACCTCAAGGAAACTTATTATTCCGGAAATAGTTGGCAAAATTGGCCACGCACACCAACTCTTACCCTAAAGTACTGAGTGAAATGCATTAATATTATCTAAGAACCTAAAATAAACATTTTTTTTCGTAACATCCAAACCTTATAAGTGTAAACAAATATAATCAAGAAATATATTAAAAATTATTTCATCACTAAAACTCATGAAATGCAATATACCGAATAGAAAGCAACACAATGCGTATTCTGCCATATAATACATGCACTATGTAACCAAGCGCGTAATTTAAACGCAATATTTACTTGTCATTGACATTTAAACAAGTTTTAAAAATATTTGTATGATAAAATTATAGCAAATAATTGTTTAATGGTAGAGTATAAGTATTATTAAACGATAATTATTAAAAAATTAGTGCTGTTTTGAAAAAATTTATGTTGCCATTGAAATTCGACATTAAATTGATTATGTTAATAATTTATTGTTTCGTGTTATTTGAAAAATTTATACGAGTGCAATTGTTATACAATAATTTATACATATTTTATCGGAAATTATTGGTGTGTGTGTGTGTGTGTGTGTATAAATTATTTGAATTAACCAATCATTTTTACAGTATAATATAATTTTTACTATATTTTATTTTGAAATTTCAATTCTTTATCTTCGGTATTTAAATTACCCTTCTTTTTAATGTAAGAACACTTTGTATTCGTTTTTCTTCTGTCCATTTGGAGTAAGTTTGAAGAATTCAAAAAACACTAGAAGTCTACTACCAACTTAAAGTAATATCTCAACGTCACTTCCGAAACGGTAAAGCAAAGAATAAAGTTGTATAGATGCTTACATTTCGTAGACAAAAACACCTTTCTTTCATTGGCACTAAAGCGCTACTAAATTACAGAAGGAGTTAGAATCGCTTTCTGTTCTTAGCGCCAACTTTAAATGAATTTATTTCAAACGTTAGAATACAATTTAGAAATGTTCATTAACGAATATTATTAATTAATTTAATGTTTTTTAAAATATTCCAAGAAATTTTATGTAGGATATTATACTTATATTACAGATTGGCAGACAGAATATAATGAACAGGTTATACATAAAAATGCGCCTAAATATTGACATATTAAAAGAATAAAAGATCGTAAAATGTACAGTTTCTCAAGGAAAAAAAGTTGTTTGCTTGGCCAAATATAAATTATTGATTCGTTATAAGTTTGATAATTTGTTTTAAACTTGATATAGGTATCTTAATAAAAACGTGTGTTTATTTATTACATAATATTAAATTATTCATTTATTCGTTCACTATTTGTATTTTTGCTATACTTTTATCCAAATAATATTGTATCATTATTTTTAATATTAATATTGCTAAAATATAAGTATACCAACTGATGATATAAAAATATCCAGTGAAGTAAAAAGCATTTCTTTGATACGAAAATCGTGTTACTTTTATTCTGGAATTTATATGGAAAATTTGCTTCAGTAATAATGTAAAAATCCTCTGTGCTATTATTAAAATGATAAGAAGTGCACAGCCTTTAAATGTATCGTAATGACACTGATTGCTCTCGGAGGATAAAAGTGAGATTTCTTTTCAGATACAAAGTGGTGTATTATCTATCAACAGTTCAAAAGTGCAAACCAAGAATTGTAATAAGAAAGTGATAAAGTGTAAGTCGTGACCATGTATGTTTTGGCTAATTTTGCGATCAGTATTTTATCTCGAGTATTTTGCTTTTTTCTTCATACTTTTTTTTCTTTCTCTACAAACTTTCTGAACACCTAAACTCACTTGGTAATCACCAAGGAATTACGATTAATCTTGTTTTCATCGGCGGGAAATCTTTGCTCCTTAAACCAAAGGGAATCTGATTTATCAAGTATTTCAATCTGTGTTTTCGTATTGTACGAAGCAATTACAAAAAAGCGAACAGAAATGACAATGTTCCTTTCGATAATGATATTGGTGGTTAAAGAAAACGCAACATTTGATTAACCTTGCCGTTATTTCTTTTTTTTTTTTTTGTATCTTATTCGTTTCCATAAACTTTGTATTCATTAAGAACCGTCGATATATATCACGCTTCTAATAATTTCGTGTGCCGCCATGGATGCACCGTAGTGGGAATAACTACATGGCATTGTCACGGGTACTTATCAGCGTTGACAGTGCTTGGTGAGCTGTTTTCATGCTCTCATTAATTTGTTTCGAACGTGCGACACCGTCGCAAAGCTACGTGAAGAAAACTCTAACCGCTCCTATCACGGTCACGTCGATCAAAAAAAGGGTGAGTGGCTGATTAATTCTGTTTTGATTCACCACGACGTAAGCAATTGTGTCTTGTGAACTCTGTTTTCCTATTATTTTCCATGGGATATTTTTTTCCCTCGTAATTTTTGCTTTTTAGACGGCTCTCCTTTTTTTTGGAAAATAGTATCTTTAAAATAATGTACTTTCATTTTTAGTAGGATATTTTGTTCTTTTTTTCTTTTTTCATATTTGTCGTAAAGTCTCTCGAAAGTTCTTAATTAAGCTAGATCTTTTCGATGGGAATTGTTCGTTTAGGTGAATTTTTGATTCGTAGCTAGAGAAGTAACGGACGTAGTAAAATTTGATTAATCAAATATTAGAACGTAATTTGAATTAAAAAGAAAACTTTCCTAAAACTTTAACGAAATGTTTCTCGAAAGAATGTCGATAGTATAAATAATTTTAGTTGCTATATCAAAAGTATGTAGTTTGCATATGAATATTTTTATATATGAAGATTCTATACGAATTTTTACATATCTTTTACAATTCTTGCTCTTTTTGTATCTATAACAAATAATATGCTCTGGTGTGAAACGAACGTGTTGAATTCGTTCGAAAGATCGTACAGCTTCTATATACTTACGTCTTCAAGCAATAAATGATTACTGACCTGAATGACTTCCGCGTGATAGTTTAAAAGCAAAAGGCATTCTTATATTCAACGGTTAAACCATAGGTACGCAGGAAAATGTATCAAATGGACCAGAAAACGATAGTACTGACATTTTTCTATAAACGAAATATTTCAACGTGACGTTTTTAAACATCGGATTAAAACTCCTCCAAAATCTCGTGTTTTTTCTGTGAATAAGTAAACAATTCAAGATCCTCCCTTATCTTTATTTTGTTCATTCGAGCGATAATAACACCACAATTTCGTTCTTAAAAAAGAAAAAGAAAAAAAGAATACATATTTTCGTGTTAATTTGCTATCACCGTTGCTCAGAAGACTTTCTGCAGCCTTACTAAATCTTCGCGTAAATCCTCAACCACAGCGATTTTTAACCTCAAATTAAACCGATTAACAATTATAAACTAAAGTTTACTAGTGTATTTCCATGAAAGAGAAATAAATCAACGTGTGTGAAGTATTTCGTGATTAATATGATTGCAATTTTGATAAGTACGATCGACATTAAGTATTAAAATAAACAAGATGTAAATCGCGTGATTAATAAAATTTATCGTGTCAGGTTAATTCGGTATTTAAGATTAAGTGGGTATTTCCCCATTCGTTAGAGTGAAAAAATCGATTGTTTTAAAATTGTTTCTTTTTCTTAAAGTATAACACGCTTGAGAATGTGTTTCCAAAATTTTACTTTAAATTCATTGAAATGACAAAGTTACAACGATTCTAAAAGAACGATACACCTGAGAACGGTGCAAATGCGAAACTTCGAAAGCGTTCTTTTCTTCAAAACCGTGTTTTCCAAATTGGCTGCCGTGATATTTTAATAATGAATAGATCGATCTTTTTCAAATTTTCCACACATAGAAAGCAGACGTTTGTCTATCTTATCAGCTAGAATTATGTCAATATTAACAATAGTTCGTTGTTTTATCGCCTGAAGAATTTACAAATTTCTTTCTTTTTGCTTCACTCTAGTTCGCAAAATAACCACTTTTATATAGATTAAAATTATCCTTCATTTCTCGTTTCTGATACCATACAATAACTTAAATAATAATAAAGATAATTGTACAAAAATTACACTGTGTTATCTTGAAACTACAACAAACACCTATGCAAAATTTCAAAGCTCTTGATCTATAATAACCTAACGATTTTTTCTCATATAAATCGTCTGAAGTCGAAGGCTCCGAATGGGAATCCCCCTTGAATCGATCATTTCAAATGATTTTTAACAATGATATGAAATGTTTATTAATGACAATCTTCCAATAGGTTGGTTAAAAAGTACCACGAGGAGTGTCTGAAAAAGATTAGACAAACCACCGAAGTCTTAGATTATGTTCGTTACGGTGTTACTCGCCATATTGGCCATCGTCATCCTACACTTTTCTCTGTTGCACTATGGAAAAGTGGGGAGGCTGATCAACTCGATACCTGGGCCTCAAGCATTCCCGATTGTTGGGAATATGCACAGCCTCCAAATTTCATCGCGTAAGAAGAGATAATTAATCATTTTTAAAATTCGTCGATTCGAACGATTTTTAGTTTGATTTTAATAATGCACGAGATTCAGAGCGGAACAACGACGATGATAAGTTTGATTTGTTATCGTTGCAGACGAACTTTGGACGTTCCTTCGAAGTACCAGCAAGCAATACTATCCAATTTTTAGGGTTTGGAGTTTCACGTTTCCGTTTCTCAATATTCGTCATCCGGATGATGTTGAAGTAATTAAAACAAGATTTCAATATATCCGATCGTACATATTCCAAGTCACCAGATAACATTGTTTTAAAATTTCAACTATTTAGTTATCATCTCTTTGATATTTTGCCATTTTGAAAAATTCACCGTTCAACAATTCTCCCGAAGGAATGATTGCGCTTTCACTCTTTCGTCTTTTTCATCTAGACTGTCCTCGGGAATACTAAGTTCATTCAGAAAAGCGAAGCTTACAATCTTCTGAAACCTTGGTTTAACACTGGACTTCTTACCAGCTCAGGTATTACTATCTTGTTTTTCTTTTTTTTTTAATCGTCTCTGAACTTTGCATATGCAACATGATTTTCTCAATCGAACGATTTATCTTATTTGTCGGTTGAATTTTTAACGACAGACGAACACACGCGAGCAATTCAATGCGAAATAAAGAACGAAACTTGTTAATTAATTCTTAATTAACCGATTGATACAATAAAATGGCAACGTCACGTTAAAAGGTGACATACCGTCGTTATGGGTTAATTAAACATCGTTTTATCGCTTCATTAATTCTTAATTAACCGATTCATTCGATAAAATGGCAACGTCACGTTAAAAGGTGACATACCATCGTTATGGGTTAATTAAACATCGTTTTATCGCTTCATTTTTCTTCCGCAGGACGCAAATGGCAAGTCCGCCGCAAGATATTGACGCCTGCGTTTCATTTCAACGTGCTTCAAGAATTTGTTGATATTTTTAACGAGGAGGGGGATCGTTTGATTGAATTGTTGAAGAGCGAGGGGGGACCTTGCGTGAAAGATTTGTTGTATCTCTTCAGCGAGCATACACTGAACGTGATATGCGGTAAATTATGTAATTCATTGTAAAATTTCCTATGACTGTAACGTGGAGAAATTTCAATGTATCTATACACAATCGATACGCAGGAATTTTACAACTTTATATCATTATTCAACGTTGCAAATATTTGCTGTTTACACGTTACAGTAGTCAGGATTTTTAACGTAGAAATTTGTATGTTTAGAAACTGCAATGGGAAGTTCGTTAAAGGATAAAGGGCAGTTTCAATATAAGTATCGTAAAGCCGTGCACGATATGGGTAAAGTTTTGGTATACAGGTGAATAATATTCTTCTCCCATTTATTACTTGACAGATTACCTCGTGAAATGATTATCCAATAATATCAACTGTCGAGATATTAATCTTACCGATTTCGAAGTATACTTGCCTGCAAAGTATATATTTAACTGGACATTTATTTGAATATTGTCTTTATAGATTCGTAAGACCATGGTTGATATACAATTTTGTCTTCAATCTTGTTCCCCAAGGATGGCGACAAACTAAATTACTAAAAATATTACATAGCTTTACTAAGCAGGTAAAATATACAATCTCTAAATGGCAGAAAATTAAACGCATACTTTTTTCTCTCCATGAAAAAGATTATCTCATTATTATCGTAATAAAATTCCATCTGACGATCCAATTGATAAATAATACATTGCAGATCATTCAAGAACGAAAAGAATATCACGAGCAGACCGATGGTCAGTATCTGAGTTTTAACGATCCTGTAAGTGAGAAGAATGACCGTGTTGATGGAAGTACGTAAATGCTTCTTATTAACTCCAATATTCCATTAATACCTGAGGTATTTAAAGATACCTGTTATTCAATATTTCTGTTTCTTTTTATAGTTCGTAAAAAGAGACTTGCCATGCTTGATCTGCTGTTGGCAGCCCATCGGGCTAATCAGATAGATGACGAGGGTATCAGAGAGGAAGTTGATACATTTATGTTTAGAGTGTGTCTTCATTTTCCAAGTAAAATTACTTCTAATGTTTGTGTAATAAAATAGAAAAGTTACGTTTTTTTTTCCTTTTTATAATAGGGACACGATACCACGGCTATGGGTATTTGCTTCGCTGTTATGCTTCTTGCTGAACACAAGGAGATACAGGTGATTTTTAATTTTAATATATTACCAATAAAACATGGCTGAATTTCAAACAACGATAGATATACCTTATGATAACGTATGGTGATCATTTTTAGGATCAGGCTAGGATCGAAGTAACAACCGTTCTGAATGAAAATGGTAATAAAATGACCATGGCCGTTCTTCAGAAATTCACATATTTGGATAGGTGTATCAAAGAGACCCTTCGGCTTTATCCAAGCGTGCCTTTTATATCTCGTGCACCGGAAACAGACGTGCAATTAAGTAACTATCGAACATTGTTTCTTTTAACTAATGAATAATTTCATCGTTCACAGTTTTGCATTTTAGGATAAAATTATTATTTACATTTTTGTATTTGGTAATGGCAAATGCAATCACATTTTCAGGTAGTTTTATGGTGCCCGCTGAAACTATGGTCCACGTACACATAGCCGACGTCCACAGAGACCCGTTGTACTGGCCAAATCCGGATGTTTTCGATCCGGACAGATTTTTACCTAAAAACTGCATTGGACGACATCCTTATGCTTACGTACCTTTCAGCGCTGGTCCAAGAAACTGTATTGGTAAGAAGATAAAAATGCTTCCTCCTTTCACCTATATTCCTACATTCGAAAGTTCTGTAATAAATATTATGAAAAACGTTTCCTAGGCTTTGAAAAGCGAATTTATCATTGATAAATGAAGAAGATATTTATGGTTACATTTGAAATGCAGCAAATGCACGATTCTCCTTGAATAGTTGTACATCGACGTGGTAAACGTTTAATTTTACTTGAATAATTTTTTTTTAATTTGTAGGACAACGATTCGCCATGTTGGAAATGAAAACAACCTTAGGACTTCTCTTAAATAATTTCTCTTTCGAGCCTGTAACATATCTTAAGGATGTTAAGATGAACACGGATCTGGTATTGCGACCGGGACATCCAGTCCGAACGAAATTCATTCCTCTTACATGTTGATTACTTGTAAGCGGCATATACGACAATGTCAGTGACAACAATTACAATAACATGCTCCGAATAGGGATGTATAGGTCGATCACGCGAAACTGAAGCTTCTAGAAGGAGTTTTAGGATCAGAAACTGAGAGACAGAGAAGAACTTGGAACGTCCTCTATAAACGTCTACACTTCTATGAACAATGGGAGGCAACGATCGAATCTTGCGTGAACAGTCGATAACAAATGAACGCAGAAAACTATTTTTACCACTCAAGAATAATAAACAACATTTTAATTTTCACTTTTCTGAATTTAAAAAATTTCTATTGATACATCTCCTGAGATTTTCTTTACAATATCAGTTTCTCGTATGCGAATCATTTAGGAATTAACGTCCTAGATGCTATTAAACGTGTGTCTTATTAAGATAGCCAAGTAATTTTTTTCCAACACTAGTTAAAAACCCATTTGTCTATTTTCACCAAACTTCACCTTAAGTGAAAACAGTGTAGGACCGTGTAGAGTAGTGGGGATGATATATCTTCTTATCGCTCATTTGCTTGCGCATGCGCGTTAGAAGCTTCAATTTTGTGTAGTCGACTTTATACCGTTACGCTTTAATTGTACATCTTCTGAAACGATTAAATGTGTTACGTGTACATACTTATCTTTACCATAAAATTTTAAAGTTAAACAAAGATTTACGAAAAGGAGATAACATATTTTATAGTTTACTTAGTTTTTAGAATTAGTCAATTATGTAAACTCTAATTTTAAGAATTATAAATATTTTTGTATCTGCTTGTAATAATAAGTAATGTAATGATGTATATAATTGTAATTTATAACAGTTTTACTTAAGTGAAATAATAATCAATTGTTATTTCGTAATGAATTGGTTAAAATACAACGAAATGTTATGTTGGTATCACTGCGACTTTTTTAAAATGGCAAATGATATAGACGAATTATTGTACTAAGAATTTTTCCTTCTTCTAAACGAGTCATTGAATCCTAAAATATTGAGAACAGGTGTTTTGCAATGAAATAAAAGAAAATCGCAATATTTAAGTTGACGATCACTTTTAATAGTTGAAATAGGAAAACAATGTACAGATACAGAATTTACATTCCTAGCCGACGAAAATTGCTAGATAAAATGTTAATCGTGTAGTAGAAAATGAATTAAAATAAAACGATACACTTAACGAGTGGCTTATCCATTGTTTTTTTCTTCATTATCTATTCGCTTATTGGTTAGTCGTTTACCTAATTACGATGATTGAATTATTTAATTATAATTATGTCTTCTGTATAGACACACAGGTGTGAATACGTAATGGAGATTCTTAAAAGCTACACAATGTTTTTTTTTCTCTTTACTTTGGTTTTAAAGTAAGGACTAGTATGTTGAGCTTCGCTCTGTCTCTATGTGTAAAAACGAACAGCAAAAGAAACAGAAAATTAATCGATACGACGAATTCTGGCGAAGTTCCTTCGTGGAGAAAACTAAACAATGTTAAGCCATACGGGGCGATATTATCGTGTTACGTTAACCACTATAGATGCGCGTGAAGATCATCGAATATACATATATATTCATCAGTGAGCGTCATTCTTCGCTTTTACACGTCGCAACATTATATTCAGGGAGATACGATCACATTCGCTATGAGCACAGTTTAAGTAGAAGTTAAATTACGCGTATAAACATCGAATACATCGTGACACGATGTACACGTACACAATGAAGTATTCTTCTTGTCCTCCTAACTGGTTTATGATCACGCGATGTGCACTTCTACGGAACTATTCGCAAAGACGAATTAAAAAAAAAAAAAACAAAAACAAACGTAGAAATAAGAATCTGAGAGATTTTGTATGGTTTGAATGCTGCTATATGAGTTGATAGTTTAATTTTACATACACCATATAGTCTATGCAAGTTAAATATAACCCTGATAAAATTCTTGTCGCGAGATGTATTTTAGAATCTGCTACGATATGACAGCTGATTATCTTTCTCGCGAATAGTCACGTTTAGTGACACAGTGCGTGCAAACATAACCTTACACATTCTAGTTAATTTAAGTGCGATGAAGGCACGAGGCGTGTGTTATTGAATCTTGTGCAGAGGGTGCAGTGAAACGAGCACAAGAAATATAATGGGATAATATTTGCCGAGCATCGCCGCATTCGCGGTTCGTGACAGAAACGCTTTTCTGGCTATTTTTTTTTCTTTTTCCCTAAAAGTGAACAAACGTCAGAAACGTTATCGATGATTTACACAGACGACAAGCGAAGCTCACAGAGTAATGTTATACCATTTAGAATTGGAAATGTAATTTAGAATTAGAATGTAAAAATACTATGTATATATACAAGTAATTAATGCGTACCAATTTGCTTGGTATTTACCTTAGTTTATATTACACATTTCTCTCTCTCTCTCTCTCTCTCTTTCTCTCTCTCTCTCTCTCACTGTTTCTCTTTCATTCATTTTTTTATTTGTTTTCTTTCATCGGAGAGCTTCTTTATTTTCCCTCTTCTGTAATTTTTATCGGTTGTACTTATGAACAGCGATGATTGCTCCAAAGAATTACATTGCATCGTTAATTCTGATCGGAACAAATTTAGCCGTAACGGCGGCCCGCGTAACAGCAATATCGTTTTTTCGCTATGTTTCATATATTTATACATCAAGAATGTCGATTTTTCTTTGTTGGCACACAAACGGAAGCAACATATATCCGATGATACGCTTAACGATTTACGATATATCGTTTATCTGGTACCGCTCGATATACGCAATGAATTGTTCTTTTGTTTTCGTTTGACGCGCAAGAAATCTGCTTTGAGATCCTTAAATTTGTTTAAATTTCTCTAATATTAATATTCGATAATTTTTTTCCCCTAATAAACATTATATAATTTTTCTTTCATTACAATAAAGCAACGCTCGAAATAAATTTAGATCGAATATTTAACAAATTTAGTTGGAAATTTTGGCATTTGTTTGACAATTAACGAATTATTGTAAAACACATTCTTTGAAAATTTCTATTATTCTCGAGACTTTCTCAAAGCGATCGTTCGATTTTTCTTTTCCAAGTGCGAGATTTCTCGCTATCGATTTCGTAATAAAACGTAACAATCGATTATCGTAATCAAAGTATATCGTAATTGAAGGTTCTCGTGTTTAGTTTTATCGAACAAGAAATCGAAATCGAATATAAAATCGAGTCGTTCGAGTAGCATTAAAAAACGATTAAACGGCTCGTGTGTTTTGTAACCAGTCTTCGCCTCTTGTATGGAAAATGGTAATTTGGAACGGATAAGTTCGTTACGGTAAAATTCGTCACGTCACTTTCGGCGATTTTATTGTAAACTCGCATTTATCATTTGCAACATCGTGCCGTTCTCGTAGCGCCCTTGCTTTACAAAATGGAACGACACGTATAATCGCAATAGTATATATCGTCGGCGAGAGAATCATTCTTCTTTCTCTTATATTCGTTTTTTTTCTCTTGTGATTTTTAAAAAGAGGAAAGAATAGAAAAAACGAATACGAAGAAAAAACATCAAAAGTTGATACGAACATTTACCTATTTACGAAAGCTCTCGATCGTTTTCCTTAAATTTGATATTAATTCGTTATGCATTTCATTTCTTTTTATTTTTTTTTGTTCTTGTGTCTATCTAAATTTCGTATATGTACATTATATACATGTAAAACGGTTAATTTATATATATATATATATCCTCGTACCTTAATGATTGTATAATTAGGATTGACTATGTCTTAGAATAATCAACGGAATTATTAATTATTGTGTAAAATATCAAATATCGTACTGTTAGATGGTATGTCCATCTCCAAGGTACCATTTTGGACGAATATCGGTCCGTCTAACATGCCTAGCACTTTGATGAGCAAATACTTTGGAGATTACATAATCTAATAATATCAGGTAATATTAAGTATAGATGATTTTCGTTAATTACAAATATAAAACATGTATATGTAAATAGAATTCTTAATTATGCGCAAACATGTTCTCTAATTGAGCATACGTGAATTTTATCATCAGTCTAAGCCGAACGGTGCGGCTCCATACACAACAGCAGCGGTTAACAATACACGTTTCATTTAAGCTTCGTAGAATCTACCGTAACAAATCAGTGTCCTCCTCGGTTAATGAAATAACAATAGCGCATGCTACGAAAACATTATATTCGTAAAACTTTCAAACAGTTCTCAAGCATAAAACACACATGACAACGGTGCGGAAAAGTATATAATATCGATTCTATGAACGACACCCTTCCGGTTTCTGTTCTTCTCATTTATCTTTTGCCGCGTGGTGTACAAGTGTTCCTTCTTTCGTTTCATTCTCCTGTGTTACGTGTGTGTTCAAGGATACCTTACAAAGAGAGACAAGGAGGCTCGATCGATATTCTCACGCGAATCGATAGCTTTGACTGATGATCGTCGCGACAGAAAGAAGAGTGAAAATAGCATAGGATGCGATCGATCGTCGATAACTCTATCGTTCACGCTTAACCTTCTCGAGACTCCGATGATAAGTACGATTGCTCGGAACATACATGCAGCGATTCTCGTATTACTTACGTTCGTGATTCAACGCGAGTTTTCCTCGCTGTAGCGTATCCGTGTGTATCCGTGTTTCGAGTATGGATATGCGCGAGTGGTGGCCGCATCTCTGTGTATCTTTGGAGCAATCTTACTTATTACGTATTCCTTAACTTACATTCATACGATACGCGAGCCAAATTAGAAGCGGAACGACAGTTACCGGGGACGTGCGTAGATTTCTCAACGTAATCTCTCGACGATCATATACAACACAGCGAACATCGACTCGAACTTACTTTTTTTTCTGTTTCTCATTTGCTTTTTCCCGTTCTCGTTATCTTAATATTCGAATTCATTGGTAGAAATTCCAATTGGGCGCGTATCGATCGTAATGATCTTTCTTTTATAGAAATTGAACGAAACTTACAACACATCTTGTCGACCCATTCTATAGTACGAGCTTTCGTCGCTTGTGACGCTTCACGCGTCATCGTGTGTCGCGAGACTCTATCTTCACTTACAATAGGCCAAACATATGCAGTGTCTTTTTTGTATCTCTTTTTTTTTATTTCTTTTCAAAAATATATGTCGACTACTTAGGCTTTCGATAAACGGAAAGACGTTGTCTTGTCCGATAACTGGAATAATTCTTTTTTTCTTTTCTTTCAGATATAAGATACGTGGCCTAGTGCATAATAACCCTATACAATACGTCATTATAGCTTAGGTAAAGTGAGACCCTCATATGATCCATTTTTTTTAATTACTTCTTTTTTTTCTGGAGTGTGTGAAACGCTGAGACATCGCACTATTTACAAGGATAATCAATTTTTAATGGAAATAAATGCAAAAATATATATGTATAAACATTTAGTTGAACTACGTTTTCTGTCTTATCGTTTTGCATAAAGACCCCTTTTTATGCAAAAATGCAACTTCTAACTTGGCTGTGCCAGGGAAATAGTTTACTCTTAACTAAACTCATATTCGTATAATTAAACTTATGTACTATTGTCTTTTTTGAAGATATCACTACTCCAAGACACTCACTTTTACTTCCTTTGTTTCTGTCTGCCTGTCTGCCTATCCTTCTTACTTCTGTCTCCTAATTTATTTCGTATATAGATTTCACTGATTATGTTGATGACATTTTCCTTCAATTTGCTGGGATTCGTTTTTAATATCGTATCATTTTGTTACGATATTATACTCCTTTTTTTTGTATTGGGTAGAATATAAAAGTGGCTTGAAGCTACTATCGGTTTAGGAAAATACGTATAGCGAGTGTGTCTTTTTTTTTTTAAACAATAAGTTAACCGTTTTCACGTGATATTAAGTCTTATATTAATTAAGTATAAAAAAGTTTTATATTCGCGGCACAGGAATAAAAATTAGGCAGTGAAGTTATTTCATAATGTCGTAGTTAAAAAAAAAAAGTTACTTACTAACTATTTTTACAAATATCGTTAAACGTCAATTGACAATATTTGTAAATATTTGGCATTCTTTTTGTAAATTCAGTTACAAATATCACCGACCATACCGTGTAATAATAAATCGTTAAAAATCATTTATTTGCTACGAGTGTGCCGATTTTGTTAACTGAAGTAATAAAACTGTACATAAAAAGTAGAAAACAAAATCGGCAGTCATTGGACATCACGTGAAAACAGTTTACCCTATAGATATTCTCCTAGCTTTAGTTCATGTTTTCATCGATTCATTGATTCGTTCGTATTTGTGCAGTATAATTGTAACGTATCAAGTTTGATAACCAAACTTCGTAATCGTTCAACGAAATGTCAATTAATATCAGTGGTGAACTAAAACTCCATCTTCATTGAACGTACGAAACAGAATTAGAAACGCGTCAGATGTTTCATAACGCCCGCCATTTAATTTCGCGCCAAAATCTAATAACAACGGTAATGGCGGACATGTAACACGTCTAAATACATAGCAATACAACCAATTAAACTATTAATAGTATTGACTTTAGGTGATTCGGCAGTGAAATATTGTAACTTCTACGTACGTTAAGATTTGCCGTTTAAAAATGTAAAACGATCACTCAATAACGTTCGTAATAAACCAAGTTTCGAGTAATAAAGAATTGAATGCTCAAAAATCTTGCGATATTCAAATGCAAATACGTTCGTATCTCTACGCGTGCATACATTGTTTTCAAGTATATAAAGAGCAATCGCTCGTGAAAAGAAAGTGAATTTCGAGTCGAGTCTATTCCTACAAAATCGCGTTTCGTGAAAAGTACGCGTGCACCAGTTTCCCAACCTCAAAAGTTCGCGAGGGGTACGGGAATCGTGCCCCCAATGTATCGAACGACATATGTATCCACCAAAGTATAGTAAGTTCGAGAAGGCCGAAGTGAAATCACTTGTACGTCTCATGCATTGTCTTAGAATTTTCTTACCTAAACGTCGTCTAGTAATTTTAGTACCTACCGAGCTTTTCGGGTTCGTTCCTCGTACACATTTCGAGCCATCGACCGTCAACAACAGACTATTTTTCACATTTCGTAAGAACTATCTTTCTGCTGATCGCGCACGTAACACCTGTTTCATTTATCTTTTCAAGTAAGATCCGTTCAATCTAATACAGAGAACGCGTCTTGTAATGAGCAAGAGGGAAAGGGAAGAAGAAAATCAGTTGTGATCACTACACACCGATTACAAACGTGGTTAACTGTTTCCCTGTGTAAAACGATTGTCTCGCTTCCTCTTCAGAATTTCAAACAACAATGCGTCCGCCAATTTATCGATGCTTTTTCTCAGCTAATTTCGAAACAAAATCATGGACGGTCGTATGTATTCACGGAAAAACGAAGAGAGCATGCAAATTATGCGAATTCACGATGATACCGAGTGCAGAATTACTGCGACTACTCGTCGGCGCTGTGATCGATGCGACATCTGGTGGAGCTTCGATGACATTATCGATTTAAATCGAGATTACTTTCAAAAGCGCCATCGAAAGATGTCTTATTGACAAATTACATTTTCTTTTGTTCTTAAAAAAGTATAAAAACGAAAATGATTATGTCGTAAATGTAACACATTCTTCAAAGAAGAATCTAGAAAAACGGTTATATATTGTTACGGCTCGCGAATTTCCCTGATATTTCGTTTCATTTTATCTCTTTTTTTTTCTAACTTATATAATCTATCTTACTGTTGAATCGCATGAGTTTGTCGACCGATGGTATAAACCCGGTAAAACGTAACTTAACGTGATCGTACAGTCCATAGCATACCTCTATGCCCTTTTAGGCGAAAATGAGCATTCTCAGACGTATTTCTTCTGTCCACGAATTTGTTATTTTCCATTCAGTTCACATGTGGCTCTACGAACGTTTCTCCATGTCACTATGAAGTCGTCACAACCAAGTAAAACTGCACGAACAAGCGGAACCGAAACTCACAGAAAAAAAAAAAACAGATAACGAAATGAAGAAATCACTGACAGCAGATTAACCGTGGTGTCACGAAAATATCTTCCAAGTCGATTCCAGCGAACTGTTCACCGGGCGTTGATCGTTCTTCTTAACACGTGATATGCGAAAAACGTAACTATACGATCCAAGTCGAGGTACATATATTGATAACCATGTTCGCGAAAAACCAACGAAACCAGCTTGTAAGGAATGCATTCTACCATTTTGCAACGACGTTATCGCGCGCTTCTTAAAAATTACGTTTAGAAACCGCGACATCGGTTCCTCTCTCTCTCGTTCTCTTTCTATTTACACATGCTTCTGTTACTTTCTTTCATGTTCAAAGAAGGATATATGTATATGTATGAGAAGGTCGTCGGAGCACCCACACGAAACTAATTATCATCGCACAGCGTTGTCGGGAAATCCTGCGATCCTGTGACGCTGGAAACAATAAATGGAGGCCGAAGATCCGTGAAGGTTTTGAGTTCAACAGTCACGGGTCGTGATGTATATTAGAGCCGGGTGGTTCTTTCTGTTACAGTGATAGTCTCGTCCCTCGGAACGGCACGATACTTGCCGCGCACCGAACTGGGGCCGAAGATCGGTGAGCCTCAGACAAGATGGCCGTCGATGTCGGAATAGGCTGGGGTGGGGGTAAAAGTTGACAGCGGATGACCGTGGGTATGCGCGTTGCTCGATACCGATCGAGCAAAGGTGGTGGGTGGCGGTGGTACCGACGGTGGTATCGGCGATTTTGAACCGGCAGTCATCACTGTCACATCTGGCGGTGGAACAGGACGTGGCAGAGTCCTGCTACGCGTCAGCGTGCCCGTTCCGCTGCTCACATGTCCTGACATCATATGTCCTGTGGGACTCATGGAGGGGTAGTAGCTACCTGAACCCGGATCCCCCATCACTGGAATCGGACTGTGGTTCGTCTCGTAACCCATATAGCGGCCATTGTCGATTTCCACGCTGTAGAAGTTCACGTCGTTCGGTGGCGCTGGACTAGGGTTGCCGATGTAGCTCGATTTCGAAACTGCAATAAGTGTCACATGGTTAAGTTGTGTTCTACAAGTAGGATAAGTAGTCGGTGTTATTTTGTTGGATGTTTTTAAGGTGTCAGTGCTTCTGGAGACAAATTAACACATTTCGCGTCGCATCTGTCAAGCACAGACCACGCTTAACCGCCGGGAAAAATCGTTGTATGTATTTCGCTTTAAAAATACACATTAGATAAGTGGTCATAACTAAAGAAGTATCTACTCAATATTTTGATATGAAATGTTAATATAGTTGAGAATTAATCTCAATTGCTTATAAGACAATTATACATTCTGGATGACTTCAACTCGAATATGAAATCAAGTAAAATGTGCCTATTACAAACACCTCACATACTTCACTATATAAGGATTAATAATAATAGCCAGTGATAGAAGAAATAAGGTTTTCTAGAGTGCACTAATTTACCAGAAAGTGTCCCACTGGCCGTAGTTCGCTGCGGCGGTGAATCCATGTTCATTGGCGGTTGAATGTGGTTGCCACGACGACCAAGAGTTCCCTGGTGATGTACCTGCATTTCCATGTTTCCTTTTCCGAAGTCTTGCATTGTCTGATCTATTAAATACGTGCTGGCTGCTGTTTTTCGCCCCTCGTCCTATTTGCGTTACATAGAAAGAAAGCGTTTCGTTAAATCGCCGTACCTAACACGTGGGAAAATCCTGCAACGTCTCTATGAAACGATTAAGAAGTAATTAACGCAATTAAATGAATTGTCAACAAATCGATTAATTCCGTGGTTGTAACAAATCGACGTATTCGTGCTCCTACTGTTCGTAGTGTATCAGCATGAAGTGTAAGTTACGTTACTGGCCTTGCAAGCATTAAAGCTCACCCACGCTGTACGGGCAAGAGCGCTTGCCGTTGCTCGCGGGCACTACTACGAGCAAAGCGAAGAGCAAGTGACGTCACAGTCGTGAATGGAGTGGGGAGCAACGGTAGTGGTGGGGGAGTAGGTTCGTAGGCAGGCATGTGGTACGTTCGTGAGGCATCGGTTACTTGTTTCAGCATCACTAACATTCATATAGCGTCCCCCACCACAGGATCGTTGTTCGAGTTTGTCTCATCACCTCAGATAGAGCTACTTCAAGATCGGCTCTGCATTAATGTGATACATTGTGCCTCTGTATCGACATTAACTTCATCATTCTGATACATTACGAGAGTTCTCTCGGTGTGTTCACGTGCACGGAAATTAAAGTTTTAAATGTCCACACCGAAACCTGTCTGTACTTAAGATTACTGTAAGAAAATGAAGTAGGGTTTTCTCGAGAATCGTAGTACGTATGATACTATCGACAGAGCTTGCATTTAGATGAGCGTGTAACTACTGGATAAAGCTCCCAAAAGAGGATTTGTTAACTGTGAAACAAAGTAAGATTATGATACCGGGAGGAAAGATACTGAAACACCGAAGAAAGGAGGAGAAAGTTCGAATCACGATTTCTGTCAAGAAGAGAAAGAACCAAAAAAACAAAAACTAAACGAGAGAATAGAAGCGAAGGGGGCTCCAAAAAACGGAAGCAAAACGGAACAGAAATGTGTTAATAGAACTCAAACCTACCCTCCGGCATTACTTGTTACTAAGAACATACTGACTGATCGCACTGACCACGTAATCGTTAGTGTCGAAGTTAACGTCGCTCTTCTCATCCGAGACCGAACTTAATTCACCGGTCATGGTGTCTCCGTTCACTGTCGATGGTGCGTACATATCCGCCGTCTGCGATTTGTTTATACCTGTGCAAACATGGAAAATACACACACGATGAAATACGTACGATCTTCTAGAGAATTGGTCTGCCTAACTTACAATATATCATTATAATATTATCATTTGAAAATAATTTATATTACAATGTACAACGCAGTGCCGTTCAACAGGACTTCAGGTGGGCAGGGGCGCCCGCCGATACCCGCGGGCAAAGCTGAGGGCGAAGTCGCGGGCTGATGATGTCACATACGTTAAAGCGGAGTGGGAGAAAGACGCTTGTGGTAGGGGTATAGGTCTTTCTTAAAACGGGCGATGGTTACGGTGAGAAGGCGTAGGTTGTTGCCCGCCGATTTTTTTACGCCCGGGGAAGACCAATACGCTGCCCGTACGGGCAACGACTGAACGGCACTGGTATATCGTTAAGTATGTGTACTTGGAGGAAGAGCTACAGCGAGGTTGTAAAATCAGACAGTGTGAAAGAATATGAAATCTGATCGCAAAAATATCAATTTGGGTGACATAAGGAGCTCGAGCCTCGTTCAGGGCCGTACGAACTCAACTCGGAACCGGTTCTCTCGTCACTCTATATTTAAACTGAACGATAAAAACAGACAAAATGGTAACTGCTGGTCTATACTGACCACGTGGTGATTTACGACCTCGCTACAGTTCTTTCGCCAAGTACACGTTCTTACATTAAAGTATATATATGTTTAACACAGCGTAGCAAACCGGAGGATTATTCACTCCACGTAAATAAACTTACGAGATTTATTTCGCTTTCTCATAATGTACCACAACACGATGATGAAGATATTAATGATAAAAAAGATGAGGAAGGTTGCTGCAAACGTATAGATATAATTCATTGTAAAATCCCCCTTTTCCAGGAGAACGTCCGGCAGGTTCTCCGCGTTATTCGGTCCTGTTGGATGAAAGCAGAAAGAAAAACCAATATAGGATTATATATTTACCGGAACGTTGAGCCTTCTTTTTCGATTTTAATGTAGCAAAGACTATGGGCGCAGCAATGAGTAGGCAAACAGAGGCGGAAACAGTGATGATAATGACGATGATGTAGGAAGAATTAATCTCGCTGGATGTCACGTCGGTAGGTGGTGCCTCCCCTGTAAGCCAAGCCGACGCCCCATCACCGAATTGTTATTCATGCAACGACACAGTCTAAATGGTTAGTTACAATTTTAGCACCGTTCGATCGATTATTAAACGATTGCCGCGCGCGCGCGCACGCGCCCGACGTTTAATTAGCACACTTAAGTCCATCAGCAATGGTAATCCTTCGTTCGAGACCTCATCGTTACGGATGTAGGACTATTAATCAGATTCGCGTTGCGTAATTCTAGTCGGTTAAACAGTGCCGATTACGACAATCGATATTTCTCATTCATAACGTACCGATAAACGCTATTTAGATATTTCGCGTATTTGTTAATCAGCGATTACACGTTCGATATTGTTAGGCTGTTTCGTTAGACGGATCGATGTTTCGCAATGGAATAGAGATCGAGATGCGAAGATCAAAGCGTATTACATGGAATGAGATCGATTTAAATGGACATGCGGATGTCTTTTTAGTTATACGTAAGCCACACGATCTTTGCTGTTCTGTTTTTTCGTTTTTTTTTTGTTTTTTTTTTGGTCCGTTTAAATGTACACACGCAATTGTTTTTTTTTTTGATCGAATGAAAGTTTGATTCGAAGGGGGAAGTATTTTTATTATTAACCCTTTCAATTTTAAATAGTTTTTATGGCAAAGCGTCTTCTCTGATAAATCCTTTTTTTATTAACTAATTAAGAAATACGCGATATTTTTGCAAATTTTTGTTTAAGATTGGAATAATGTCAACGAAAATTGTTAAAATGGAGTCATAGACATGGAAGGGTTAAGAAAGCAAGCGAAATCCAACATTGTAATTCCTCCACCATATCAAATAAATATTCTGTACTTTTCATTTTCAAGTTGAAAACAATTGCGAGTACACATTCAAACTGAGAACAATGCATAGAATTATTGTCACAAATGATATGATACTATCAATTTCTTCAGTATTCTGTTACTTAAGCCGGCTACTTATGTCAATGAATGATCGAAATTAGCTGCTGCACCCTCCTAACATTTTTACTATGTCCCTTGAACCATACTACACCTTCAGGAAATACGTTTCTCAACGAACATTATCAACTATTCATTTCACCAAACGAATATACGTACGATGATAAAAACGCATTTCTAAATACACACACATATACATATACAGAGTGTCACAGAATTTCAAGGTTTTCCTTGAACTTTGCAAAAAATTATTTTCGACAGAAGTTGAACTACATTTAAATATGCATAATTTTCATAAATCAAAGTTTCTTTATCTGCATTTTTTCTTTTCAGTTCTTCAAATATTTTTTATTCTAACAGGAAAAATTCTAAAAATCTAACTGTATATATGTTACAATAAGCATTTATATCTCCAACAAAAAAGTATGCAGATAAAGGAACTGGTTTACGAGAATTATACACATTCGTTACAATTCAACTTCTGTCTAAAACAATTTCCCATAAAGTACAAGAGAAATTCCTAAAATTTCTTCGCAACGCTTGGAACATCCTGCATAAATACTACCGTTATATCATTTCAATCTAAAAAATTGTTAGTCAACGGGTCGTCACATCGACGGTATTACAATTTTAGCTTTCGGGTTAGAAAATAAGATCAAGATCTAAATGGGAAATCTGGCCTAAAAAAAGAAAGCGGTCAACCACTACGGCGTTATTAGCGTATCATGATGATTTTTCGAATTGAAACGTTTCAAGACTTACGTAGCGTCTGAACTTTGACAAGGTCCGGCAAAAAGCCGCTGTCTCCCTTCTCATTAATGGCTTTCACGCTGAACACGTAGTAAGTCCCGAGGGACAGTCCTGTTATCGTGGTTTTATATTCTCCCGGTGATACGTCCAGATAGTGGTATCGATCCTCGTAGTCGAGGGCTTCCCGCCAGCGTATTTGGTAGGAGGTCGGCAAACCCCCGTCGAATCCTCTTTTCCACATCAGGGTAACGGAGTCGTGGGTGACGTTGTAGACCTCCAGGTCGCTCGGTTTGTCCGGCGGCGATGTCACGTCCAGGTGGATGATATCCGTCGACTCTCCCATGTTGTTCATCGCCCGGCACTCGTATTTCCCGTAATCGTGCGACGTCACGCGGAAAATGGTCAGCGACGACTCGGAAATTAATTCGCTTAGCTGGAAAAAGACGAACACGTTCGTTTGGTGAGATTGCAGGACGATGAATTCTCTCGTCCCGGTTAACAACATTTTTCGGCTTTCCCGTGCTTTGTCAACGTGAAATGCTTGGAAATTATGCAGGAAAGGTATTGAAATTTGAATTTTCAGAAGATTTCTGTCATGTTCTATTCCGCTGAGCTTGCTTTTACTGTGTTTCATAAAACATAGCGATACAGGCACTGAACGGAATTGAATAGTGGTGTACAATAGGTATTTTAAGATGCTTATCCTAAAATTTTTCTTCTGAGGGAAACAACATGGAGGATGTAGCATGAAGTTTTGCACTGATTCTACAATGCTTTTTATCCGAAGTTTATTTACAATTATTTACAAGAATCCTTTAAACGATAAAATTGGCTTTGTCAAATTATTCCAAGTCCAAAAGTCTTAAAAATTTCAGTGCTGCTATAATTATGCTCTGCAGTGTAGATTCGAGAAGTTGAAGAGTAGGGATTATCTCAGGTTCAGTGTTCAGTAAGGGATGAGATAATGAGGTCGAGATTCGAGGATGAGTATTAAGCAAGGGATGAGATCGTCGGTTGTCGAAGGAAGAATTTGGAATGTTTATTGCTGAGGATTGATTTGTGAGGTTTACAATGTTCAAACTAACTACAATGTCTGAAACTAATACACAAATACAACAATGTCCTGTGAGATTTTAAATAATCGTAGTACAGATCACGTTGGTACACAACAATGTTCATTTCGTGGAAACTTACGTCGGTGTGAGCAATGCCGTATTTATGCTCGGTGACATTAGGCAGCAAATTTTTCCCATTGAATGACCAGCTAAACCGTGGCAACGGTGAACCCCGTGCTTTACAAAACAGCTGCACGTTTATCCCCTTGTTCGCTGCAGCTCTTCTCGTCAACGGTGTATTCATCATTTGCGGTTTGACTGGATCAAAATGACAATATCTCGGTGAAAAGGAGTGTCTATTTAAATGTTGTTACTGTAACAAGCCGTATCGATCAACAAGTATACATATACGTACAGTTGGTAACGAATAGAATCGGTTCAGAGGTAACGTTGCCGATGCCATTGTTAACTTTGCACTGATATTCCCCGACGTCTTCCTGATCAGGGTTTTCGATGTGTAGATACGAAGTTTTGTTGATAAAAGATGTGGAATATCGGCCGGAGAGTTCTGAGTTCGAGCCAACTTTCTGCCACGTGACGTATTCGTCCCCTATGGGGCTGCCGTCCACTTCGCAGAACAATTTCGCCTCGAATCCTGGAGGATACACTATTCCCGACGCCGAGGTGCGTTTAATTTTCGCCGAGTCTGCAAAACGTGCGGTGCACACAGAAAAATTTAGATCTTTTCGAAGGAATGGAATTTAATCGGTTAAATGCTTCAAGCTAATGGTGTCAATTTAAGCTTCCCTTCTCTTAACGAGAGAGAGAGAGTAACAATGATTAGAGTATTGAGAGATATAAACGTAAGAATGTAAAATTGTCGAAGTTTTCAATATTCTAAGAATTTTCAAAATTTTCATATCGACGAAATCAGAATGGCAGAATCGGTAAGTACTTACATTGTACAGTTAAATTTAATTGGTAAAACGTCGTTCCCTCCTCGTTAGTCGCTTCGCAGATGTAAGTTCCAGCATCGTGTCGATCCAATTTAGTGATATTCAATGTAGATCCACGAACGGATATTCGTCTGCTACTGCTAACTAACGGCAGACCATCCCTTGTCCATGTATACCTTATCTCATTGGGATTCCCCTTGGCAGTGACAGAAATCACGAAGGGTTCTCCCTCCATTCCGATCAATTCATAAGGCTCGATTGTCGAGAATATCGGTTTATCTATAAATCAAAAACAATAACGCCCCAATTGAACGTCGATTTCTACATCATTGTAACATTCGAATAACACACAAAAAGAACGAAAAAAAAAAAAAATCCCTCTCCGTTCGAATAAAACACGTGAAATTCACGTTCTCTCATTTCGTCCAGCAGACGCAGACGCAGCGACGCGTCGAATAAAACGCGCCGCCGTTGCTTTTAAACATTTTCATCTGAACTTTCGGAGGAAGATATTCGTCCCGGTGCTTTATGAAATATTTCCAACTTTCTTTCTGCGAGTGTCATTAACCGAGCACACTCGACGATCGTACACGGAGCGCGTGTACCGTGCAATATGAAATATTCATTTGCATGTTGGTAACCATGATGGCCGATGTGTGTCCCGTTGATTTCGTTTATACTCACACAACACGTCGAGTGTGGTGGCGTCGTGGATAGACCTTTCCATTTGATTGTTTCTCGCCTGACACGTGTACACCTCTCCGTTCATTTCTTCCGTCACGTCCAACAAGAGCTCGACGAACGACAGAAATCCACCGTGTAAGCCGGGCTTAGTGCCATTTTTGGTACCCTGTACCGGGATGCCGCCCTTCCACCACGACATCTCCGCCGCCGGATTACTGCTGCTCGATTCGCAAATGATACGACCCTCCTGGCCCGCGTGCAGATTCTGCGGCTCGCGGCTGATCTTGACTTTCTCGGGCGGAACTGAGGCAAAAACATTGACAATTTCGGCTCAATCGCTCGGAAGCAATTGCCGTGCTGCTTATCGAGACCGGGCGAACTTATCCAAAAAGAGGGTAGAAGTGTAGGGGGTTAATTTATATGGTATTAAAAATAAGGATACGCGAGCAGGGAGTGACTTGGCAAGCGGAACGTGTGAATTTCAGCGAAAAATTCCAGAGATTTTTTAATTAAAAAATTCGAGAATCCGGATATATGGCGGTTGGA